TATTTTCTCCCCATAAGGATTATTTTCACAACGTTTCGGCAAAGTCTCATTTGCCATCTTCTGGTGATGTCTGGTATTTTCAACTAGACTGATTAGTTCGAACTCTGTGTCTCAATTTATAGGGATGGATGTTTCCCTTTACCATCCCTATAAATTGCAACTGACTATCAGCCGTTCAGTATCGTCGAGGACAAAGGTTTCCGAAAATTCGTGCATGCCCTGAATCCGACTTATGAATTGTCAAATAGGCACACAATTTCCAGTTCAATGATTCCAGCCCTCTATGAGACTCATCTCAATAAAGCCAGAGATGAAATGAAAAATGTCCTGAACGTGTGCATTACCACAGATTGCTGGACTTCTGCTAATAATGAAAGTTTCATGGGTATCACAGCTCATTATATGGATGAAGAGTTCACAATGAAATCTGTTTTATTGAGCTGTTCTGTTTTTGAAAAGAGCCATACTGGAATCAATTTAGCCGAAAAATTAGGTGAAGTTGTGAAAGAATGGGGACTAGAAAAAAATCATAATGGCAGTTTCAGACAATGCGAGTAACATAACAAATGCATTGCAAGTGCAATTGGGATGGAAACATTTTGGATGCTTTGCTCATACTCTCAATCTAATTGTGAGTGATGCACTTCAATCAGTTATACCCGTGATAAATAAAGTCAAATCATTAGTGGCCTATTTCAGAAGAAGTGCTTCATCAAACACAAAATTGATGAATTACCAGAAGCAATCAGGTACCACAATACCAAAAAAACTTATGCAGGATGTTGCTACCAGATGGAATATCACTTTTTATATGTTGGAGAGATTTATTGAGCTGGAATATGCAATCAGATCGACAATTGGCCTGGTTAATGAATCTTTGATACCACCGACGCTCGAAGAATGGAACATTCTGAGAGAGTTGTGCCAGATTCTGAAGCCCTTTGAAGATGCTATTAAATGCGTCAGTGGCAAAAATTATATATCAGCATCTTTGGTGATACTTTTAAATCGAGGACTTTTGAACTTATGTGAAAAATTTTCGAACGAAAATTTCACTGAAGTTACGAAAGAAATAATAACAGATTAGGAAATGTTGAGCGTAGCAATACATTAGCTCTTTGCACATTGCTGGATCCAAGATTCAAATCGTATGCTTTCAAGATTTCAGATGCAGCTGAAAGTGCAAAAAAAATTATCCAACTAGTTATTGAGATGATATCCAGGAATAATATTCCTGATAAAACAGCACTTATAGGAAACCTGAAATCGAATGTTCTTGAAAAATCCGAACCAGCGTCAACCACCAAAGTGTATTCGTATTCATTATAGGGCATGCTGGAATGAGATGGAAACCGATGATGAAGAGGTCATTGAATCAGATGGTGAAAACGATATTGATAACGTCAGCATAAATAGTGATAATGTAGATTTTGAACAGGACGCNAAAAATCATTTTTCAAAAAATAATTAAAAATAGTCTGTCCAGGATTTTTTTAGCGAACCCATTTTCAACATATTTTCTAATATATTAAATTCATAACAAAATATATTTCATTCTATTATCAGCTCGGTGAAGGTCGATTTAGGTTCGGATCTTAGGCTATCAGTGCAGTCTTCAAGCATAGCCCACTGACTAATAAAAAAAAATACATTTATTATATCTACATTTTATACTTTTTTAGAACTTTTTCTATTTTAACATTGTATTTCTTGGACTTTGTCAACAAGATGCAAATCTTCAGATTCAGACAGTAAAGTATATTTTGATTTGATGGTGAGAGGACTAGTGGAGACTGCTACCAGATTCGAAAGTTGCCTATTGTAGCAGCAACTATATAAAATTTCACTGATGCCCAAGAAAATGTTCATAATTATATAACAACCATGTTTATGAGTAGCCGTAAGTATCCACTCACAGTACCAACAGACATTAATCATTTCCCAATGGTCTTGAGAGGTTTAATGTTTTTCCGAGTTTTTGATGAGCAATAAAATACATCACTGTATTGAAGATATATCTAGGATATTTTTTTTCAGGTGGCCGACCACGTCAGAATTGAAAACAATGCACCTCTAGAAGTTCTGGATTTACGTAAAGGTTAATGAATTCACCAAACTACAACTACTTCACCAAATATCTTTTCATAAGAGCTTTGTTATATTTATATTGAAGAATATTTCTACTGTGATTAATTTTAGATTAAATAGCAGATTCTACAAAAATATTTACTTTTATACCAATTTTTTTCCTCGTTTTACTTCATACTCAGATACGTTCAACTTCAAAACCAGAGGACTTGGAATCTGTTTTTATATTAATCATATCTTTTCATTTGAGTACTTAGTAATTTTTGAGAATCAAATGAAAAACTAGTGGTACACATAATTAACTTATAAACAGTGCATTTTTTTAATGTCCCCCCCCCTGCCTCCTTGTAATTTTTGAACGGTGTAATAATAGGAGCTTTCTAGTGCCTCAAAGGCCCCTTTCTCATTTATTTATTTATTTGAAATGAATTTTTAGCAGCGCTGTCACCAGATGCAGATTTCTCCGCATCAAATTTAGAATGTTAAGGCAGGTCCGAAATAGCTGTAGGGTTCGTGCCGATCGCACGAGGGCCGGTCTTTTGAAACCTGACTTCACCGTGTACCTTTTTAAAATGGTTTTCCTTCTAGGTTCCACTTCAGAACGAGGCAGGAGACTAATACTTAATGCTAAAGGCCTTTTAACTATCCTGAAATGATGCGGGACTTACTAAAAAATAACTGTGGAAAAAAATATAACACGAAAATCCAACAAAACAATTGAAAAAATGTCGAAAAGTACGATCAAAATTTTACAAGAAAGCGCGTCTCAAATAGCTGATTGCCTAACAAATATTATCTCTTTAACAACTTGTGAAATGTTATATTTCAGCGGAACATTTTCGAATACAGTAACGTCAATACCTCTACAAATAATTATTATTCTCTGTCGTATATTCAATATTGAAGCAGCTTCAGTTTTGTACACCTTTTGCTTCGAAAAGCTCCATAAAAAAAGTCCAATGGTGTCGACGAGCGGGCTGGCCATTCTGTAGAACCTCGACGGCCAATCCAACGACCGGGAAAAGTAGTATCTAAATAGTTTCTTACTTGTCTGGAGTAATTGTTGGTGATCCATCTTGTTGGAATACAATATCTATATTGAATTCATTAGGATTTCAGTGATGAGACGGTCAGCAGTAGTTTCCAGCATTTTCAAATTCAATTTCCATGTTAAATTTTCATCAATAGAGGTCCTACAATATGGTTCCCCAATATTCCTGCCCAAATGTTGTCTAATTACCACTAGTTGATTTTATTCATAACCGGTTTCAGGTTTGACTCCATTATCAAGTATAAGTTTGAGTTATGAGTTTTATACAAACCAGAAACCGGTCGTATGAATAAAAACAACTAATGGTAATTAGACAAAGGTATTTTTATTAATTTCATTAAAGTTATCATGAATTACCACCAAATAAACGAGTCATCAATCACACATACTACCAAAACTGTCAGCGCTACTGCAAAACACACTTCATCTAGCTATAAAGTACCTACTTTTACTTAGTTTCGATTATATTAGTTTAGTGCAGACTTTCTCATAGTGGGCGATAACGCCCCCTTCTAGGCGCTGGAGGCCTATAGAGGCAGTAAAGGGTACAGAGAAGATTAGGGGGCGTTGAAGCGGTTTATGTGAGCGAAAGCTAATTTGAAAGTATTGTTTTGCTTTTAACACAAACTTTACCGCTCCTTAACGCGCGTTTCCTCGTGTAACGCCATCTTGGGGACTAAACAGTAACTATTTCCTGTTGGATAGTTGTCAAACTGTACAGTAGATGGCGGAAATCTTAAGAGCGAAGCGAGAAGTTTCTAGTCTCCTTTCTCGAAAGTACTAGGCCCGCCCGCTGCTTCATATAAAAGCGCGCGCGCCATCCAGCTAGTAATGTCATCCAACGATATTTCGAAAACACGTGAATTTACTTAGCGACTAGCTAGGAAAAGTGCTGTACGTGCGGTGGTGAATACTGTGAGTGGTGTCATTAGCAAGTTTTTAATACTCGATTGAAATTGAAATGTTTGTTTTAATAACACAAATAAAAGTTTTCTTAATAATACAAAATGGTGAATTGAAGGGGCTATATTTTTATGGATGATTAATTTTTGGGAAAGAAAGTTTTTGGCTTTCTACTACTCCATATTGATACAAAAAAATGAAGGGCATTTGAGGAGGTAATAACATCCACCAATTTATTGAGCTTCGTGGTGTTACTGACGATTTTTATAAGCTATGCTGCTCCCTATACTATAATATAATAGTTGAATATTCTGGTACGAGTAACTAGTAACTCAAAACTGTAGATACGATATTGAGATTCATTTTCAATTTATTCCATAATAATTCTCACAAAAAGCTTGTACATGTACTATTGATAATATCATTATAGCTTGATCTTGTTAGTGATTTCTTTAAAAACTATATTTCTAATTAATATAAGACACTTTGATTCCTCTATTGATAAATTATGTTAGTCCGAATCTTCAGCCTGTGACAATTCAAACCAATCTCTAAAAGGTTCTTGTAAGTTTGTGAAGCTCCTGAAGTTTACAATAACCTGAAAAATAATGTATTAAACTTTAAAGAAAAGAATCATTTCCAAAGCTCAGTACCTGACCAATGATATTAGAGTTGAAAAATATTTTCTTGCTTTTAACAGTCAAAACTAACTTATTGTTTGGAAGCTCTGATAAAGAGAGGAGGTATTCAAAAGTTTCTTCGAATATAGGATCACAGTTATCGGTGACGACCTGTAAACAATGTCATATAATTATTAACTCCCTTGTCTATCATGTCTGGTGAATACTATTTTTGAAAGTATCTCTGTTGTAATGAGAGCTTGAGAATTGATGAGTGAACTTGTTTGTGGCATGCCTGAGTGTTAAGGTGCGTATTCACAAAAAAAGCGAGTACGAGCGAACAAGAGTGAACGAGCATTCTGCATCAATAATCGTCTGGTGAGTACGGGCTAGCGAGCGAGCGAACGTATGCTTGTTCGCGTTCAGAAAAGATCGAGAAGAAGGCGGGTACATCAAAAGGTGCTCGCACAAAGTAGATGGATCAACTACGACTACGAACTTCAAGATATTCGCTCTGGTGTGGACGAGACATCAATACGTTGAGCAAACACGAGCGAAAATGAGCGAACACAAGCATACATACACGAATGCTCGCTCATGCTCGCTCGTGCTCGCTTTTTTGGTGAATACGTATCTTTATCTGGAGTTATTATATTTTGTGTGAATGAAGTGCAGGTTGATAGACAAACTGATATATAGTGTGTAACAACGAAAACTCAACAGAGCCGTTTTTTAATATAAAAAGTAAGATTTTTAAAAAAAGCTCGGACACGTCGATTTCTAATTGAAGGGCATAACTTTGAGAT